GTATATCATTTAAAACTAAATAAATTCTTATCTATTCCATCTAGCAAACTTCAGCAAGTGGTAGCTCTTTACCTACTTCCATTTTAGGTTTCACTGCAGCATGGTCTGCTGCCCAACATAGAATGCCAATCTAAAGATAGCTAGTCTAGTGCTAGTGTTGCCACCTGTATGGTGACTTACGTTTTTAGGATTATAGTGGTGGACTGGAAGCTATCCAAACTTTAGACTTTACAATAAGAGTCTTTTCTGTTCATATTTATCATTCAAGGTTTGAGCCCTTAAAATGTCATGTTCTCACATCCACAGAGTATCTCTGAGTATAAACGTATCCTGCCCTGTGGTCTAACTTCAGCAATATCCTCCTAGCAGAGCTGTACCTGCATATTCACCTCCCTCAATTCAGACAAGCCCACAAATTCTGAGCTCACTTCACCACTGTTTGCATATTTTCTTTCTAATATTTTATTCCTTCTGCATCTTCTGCATCTGTAATTCATTTAAGTTTCAGACATTTTGTTAATTCTTATGTCTTTACTTGTTTCTTAACAATTTCTGCCTGCTTCCATCTTTAAGATATGAACTTTTCCACTTTCTCAGTTAGATTCCTGCATTTTGGATAAAGGTTATTTACTTTTTTACTGTGACCCTTGCACTGTGGTTACATACTTTAAATTGTTTGCCTTCTCTAAATCTCATAAAATACACAGAAATTATCTGCAAGTCTCCTGGACTGCAACAGCTTGAGGAACACATAAGGTGATGTTCTTATAGCATGATCTTCCAGACAGAAAAAAAAAACTTTAAAAAGATGTGAAGATTACCCGAGAACCCCAAAGAAACCTATTATCAAAGATTTTATCATTTCTTAGTTACATGATATGTAGTTTTTAAAGGACCTTTTTCCAGTAAAACAGATCGGTAAATATTTAGTCATTCGAGAAGCTCTGTCTTATTTAATAGAATGATTGCTGTATTTTTACTCACGTTTTTTATATCTGGGTTGTTTTAAAAATATTTATCTTCATACCAAAACTCTGTTATCTGTGTGAGATGTATACTGTATATCCTTCTATCAGTGTAACATTTAAAACAGGCACCCTCAAATCATCAGTCCCTTATGGAAATTACATTTCAAGTTGAGTCATAAGAATCTATTTGACATATTATTGCTGGGGTTAAAATATGTAGATTTTAATAAACATAGATATCTAAATAATTTCCATAAATTAATGTTGCTTGCTGTAGTGGTAATGGAAAGATTC